ATATGCTGTTGGTGTTAAAATATTTGCGTGAATCCTTTTTGAACATTGAATAAAGTTTGGTCCATAGAAAAACTTTTTTGAAATAGCAGCGAGTGAGACTGATAACGGTTATAAATGGCCGGATGATATAACTGACGTTTGGCATTGAAATATTTCTGCTTTAAACTGTATCTACTCGGGTTTAATGCGTCAGATTTATTTATTTTTGTATAATAAAAGTTGCATATATGCTAAAAAAAAGTAGTTCTTTGCCGAGTGATTTCGCTTGATCGGGATGGGATAAGACAAAGCTTATGAATCAAAACTGCAGCCTCTTTTTTTCGGATAAATTTAGAGCAGGACCGATGAATCGTTAATGCTCTGAATAAAAAAGAAATTGATGTCGTATTTAAATCAAGTATAGGTGAATCATTCATGAAAAAATTATTTTACTATATACAATACTATTTATTTGTCTTCTATTTCTTCGAGCGTTTTTCCTATAGTCGTATAGTTACAAGTTTGAATTGCAGGCAATCAATCACGGATTCGCAGACTGCAGTGAGCATTTACGTAAGGCATCTAGTCAATAAGAGACAATTCGCCTTTTGGGATGAAGCCTAGCATGCGCAGTGTGGATGTTGACTTCAATACCCAGCAAAGAGTGTGGCCACAGCATGCATATGGTGATCTAGCTGTAGCCACAGTGCGCGGCAAGGTATATATAGAGCTAGGGAGATTCATACAACACCCTTTACAAATGTAGAGCTGGAGAGAAAGATTCTATCAACACATTAAGAACAGATGAGCTGAAGAGAGAGATTCATACAACAAATTTACTACTGTAGAGCTGCATGGAGAGAGAGAGAGAGATTCTATATCAACACATTACGAACAGGACAGCTGATAATTTAAGAGAGGTTCTCGAAACACGTTAACAACTTTGGAGCTGAAGAGATTCTTTCAACATATTTAGAACAGAAGAGCTACAGCTAGAGAGATTCTCAAAACACATTTATAACTGTGGAACAGATGAGTTGGTTTAGCAAACTTATTAAGAACTGTGAAGCATGTGAGAGAGTCTATAGAAACACTTTAGGAACTACAGAGCCATGGATAGACAAAGAGCCTCAAACACATTAGAACTGTGCAGCGAGAAGAAGAGATTCTCAAAACACATTTGAAACTAAAGAGTTCGCGGGAAAATGCTCTGCACGAATATTTATGCTGTCCAGCGCGAGCATATGCAGGTTTGTGAGATTCTCAAAATCTATTTAGAACTGTAGAGGTGGAAAGAAAGATAGTAAAAATGCATTTAGAGCTAGAGGGAGATTCTGGAAACGCCTTTAAAACTGTAGAGCTGGAGAGAGATATTCTTGAAACACGTTTAGAACTGTAAAGCTACAAAGAGAATTTCTAAAAATACTTTCAGAACTATAGAGCTTGAATGAGATTTTGGAAAAACATTTAGAACTGTTAAGCTGGAGAGATTTTCTAGAACCACGCGTTTTAGGACTTTAGAGCCGGAGAGTGAGATTCACAAAACACATTTAGAATTCTAAAAAGTTGCGAACCCATTTGTGCTGTCCAGACCGGGAATCTACAGCATTTGTACTGAGAGTTGTTGGAGCGACTAGAGGTCTTGTTCTTCGACACTATCGAGACCGAGGCATGATTGAGATCACCAGCCCGGCTGCCCGTGCCCATACCGGCCCCGCAGGAGGTACGGGACAGTATTGCTGCGAAAGGCACTTTCCAATGTTTACCTGATGAGTGGCTATAGCTCAGCGCCACTTTATTAGGACGACTGAGCGCGATTATTAACGACCTGTTGTAAAGATTGTTGTCCCTTTGAGAATTGCGTTTGGACATACCCTATTATAAATTATGTACTTGTTTTGGAGCACATTTACAGTATGACTTTTCTTTGATCGTTTGTGATGTACGTACGTACGCACATATATATAGCGCAATAACAACATTCACAACTTAAAAAAAGAAATGAAGTGAAAAATGTGTCCTTTATGACGTTAATTAAAAATTTCAAAAGCAAAGTATATTCTTCCAACAATTCGTTAAATAATCATGTTAGTTTGAACTAATTTCAAGAAATTTTCTGTGGTTCATCTAAAAAAATGCAACAAAAATGTATTGTTACATTCGTGATCTTTGTTGGAGTCACAAACATAAGCGAGCATAAAAAGGACATGTTCGAAATTTTGGGGTCTTTTTATCATAAAAGAAATGCTGACTCACAGACCTATAGATAAAGAATTGAATTTCTTTTAGATAATACTAATATTAAGTAAGGGAAAGAATTGGCAAATGAAAATTAATTGAAGGATCTGGCCAAATAGGAGGTAATTGGAGGGGTAGACAAAAATATGATGCTCAGGATAAGTGCAGCAGGCAACTAATTAAGGACTCCATTACTCACTGATGGTAAAGAGATGCGACTTCAAGGACTGCACCGCTCACTGAGGGTATAAATTAAGATGCGACTAAGAACTGCATTACCCACCGAGGGTATAAAGATGCAACAAAGCACTGCATTACTAACTGAGAGTATAGAGATGCATAAGGACTGCATTACTCACTGATGGTATTGAGATGCAATTAAGTAAGGACTGCATTAAAATTACTCACCGAGGGTATAGATATGCAACTACAAGGACTGCATTAAATTACTCACTGATGCTTCAGAGATGCAAGTAAGGACTCCATTACTCTCTGATGCATGGTATAGAGATGCAAGTATGGACTGCATTACTCGTTGATGCTCTAGAGATGCAACAAAGGATTTAATTACTCACTGATGGTATAAAGATGCAACTATTAGGAACTGCATTATTCACTTAGGATATAGAGAAGCTACTTATATAGGACTGCACTAGTCACTGATAGTACAGAGAGGCAACTATAACAAACTGCATTACTCACTGATTATATAGAGATGCAACTAAGGACTGCTATAACTCTCTGAGGGTATAGAGATGCAACTATAATGGGCTGCATTACTCACTCTTGGGGGTCATGGAGATGAAACTACATATAAGGACTACATTACCCGTGAGGGTATAGAGATGCAACTAAGGACTGTATTACTCACTGATGGTACAGAGATGCTACTAAGGACTGCATTATTCCCTAATGGTATAGAGATGCAAGTAACGACTGCATTACTCACTTATGGTATAGCGATGCAACTATATTAAGGACCGCAATACTCGCTGATGATATAGAGATGCAACTAAGGACCGCATTACTTATACTGGTGGTATAGCTCGATGCAACATATACAGGGTGCGGCGCGGGAACTTACTTATTTGAATTGCGCGCCACGTGGCGGCCATTAGTCCTAGGAAGGTGGCGCCATGCGCAATATGGTGCGCGGGCTATGAAGTTTTTCGTCCACTCAGTTCAGTTGCGACCATGCAGCTGTCTCTTATACACATCTAGATGTGTATAAGAGACAGGAGCACACCTGGGCAGGTACTCAGAAGCTAATTAGCGCTGATACGCGGCTGGCGATATCGTCTCTAAAGCGGACATTTCTGCTCTATCGCTGCTCTGTCGCGTCTCTACGCCGGCTCTGCAGCCGGCGACGGCCTGCTCTATTCCCTGCCCTAAATTTTAACTGGGAAGGACTGCAATTATAGTCACTGATGGTATAGAAATGCAACCACGCAAGGACTGCGTTACTCACTGAAGGCATAAAAATGCAACTATATATAAGGACTTCGTTCATATAGCTTACCAATTAAGGGTGCGGAGATTCTATGAAAGACTTTAAAGTGAATAAACGAAGACAAGCAGCCACCATTAGGAACAGAAAAGTTTCTTTAAATACGTGCAATAACTAAGGAACAAATGGCATGAGATTGAGGGAGACGTTCAGTTGCAGAGTGCGACCGAAAAATATTTTGCAGAAGACACTCAGCTGCGTATGCACGCAAGCAATGTATTGGGCCTCTATTGGCTCGGTAGACATAATAAGGAATGTTGACTTATGTGGCGTAGGTGTAGAAATAGAGTATTGGAAAACACATGCAGAGAAGTAGATATTCATTGGCGAATATGCGTAGTGACTGGTAATAATGCGTTTATAGGCTCATATGGAGCTGCTTTTCTGTAACAAATCATCAGGGTGTTCGTGTAAAAGCATGCATCTAGTGAGCGCAGGACGTGCATGAGAGGGAAGAAATGCATCTGCATGAGGAGGATGACATATTGCAGAAGTGCATCGATTGAGGAGGATGACATGGAAGACATGCATCGGCTGAGGAGGATGTCGTAGAAAACCTGCATCGACTGGAGGGGATGATATGAAAGACGTGCATCGACGAAGGAGGGTGAAAATGCAGCGACTGTGGAGAATGACGTGGAGACAAGCATCGACTGTATATAGAGAATGACATGGAAAGACATGCATCGACGAGAAATTATGGCAGGAATGGAAGACATGCATCGTAGGAGGAGGATAGCATGTATGTTGCATGCATGGAAGACGTAGTTCAACTGCTGAGGAAAATTGTTGCAGCGCGCGCGGTGGTAGTGCCATCCAGTGGGGACCGTCCCAGTAGGTACGCGGCAAAATCGAGGCCTCGCGAGCTCAGCTCCCAGTGTCATCCAGTGGGGGTTGTTGTGCAGCAGTGGAGGTCTGTCAGATACAAACATTATTTCCCGCAACCTAACCACTCCCTCTCGTCACGGCTCTTCTCGAGCTATAAGAGAGACGTTCAAGTTTGGACGTAAGTGAAAAATGCAAGTACTATATTATGAAAAGGCTCGAATGTTATTTCTATCTTGCTGCCTTATGCATGACAAACAAAATTCAAGTAAAAATCAAACAAATACAGAAACTTGTTGTGTTTCGATGATACCACCCTTTCGCGGTCTGGTCAAAAGTTGGGAGGAGAGATACCCAGTCACGCCCAGTAGGTGGAGCTCGGGGGCTGCAGGAGGAGCCTTCAAAGCTGTTTTCCTGGCTAGTGTATATTGACGCTGAGTTTACAATAAGACACTGTGCACGGTGGAGGGTCGTCGGTCTGTCCCTCGAAATCCAGTCTTCTGTCGTTGCCGCGATAAAAAAGAACTAACGACAGTTTTCTTGCGGCTCCTAACTCACTTCTACATCTATTACATCTCGTATGAAATAATGTAAATGTTAACTTTTCATCACACTAGATAGTCATGGTGCTTGCTATACTTTATTCCGCTGAAGTTTGATTCGAACTTCACCGAGTCAACTTCGTGAGCGGTTCGGTGTTGCAGTGGAATATTCAGTTAAACTGTTGTTATATTTGCTCTAGCCAGCAAAATGAGCAGTTCTGAAACTAATACAAACAAAGAAGAGCTGATATATTGAGGTGATTCACGTTAGTTAAGGCTTTCCGTATAGCCGTCAAAGTGATAAACTAAAGAGATCCGTGAGTCTGTCGTAATGCTGGGCGTGGAGACTAAACCCAACGATGGAAGTGACCACTTCAAGTCCGATGCCGGCGACCAGGGTATGTATTCGAACCAACGCCGCTTTACGCTTGTCACTAATTTGAATGAAATTGTTTTCATTCATATTGCTCGATTATAATGGAATATTGAACAATATATTCTATTAATTTGCCTGAGTTACTTTATTGTTGCATCGTAATACGTCGAAGAAAGTTCTCACTAGGCGCGAGTGGTTTGAGATTAGTACTCCTTTGTCAAAGATGATCCATATCTGCCGATTTTGTATGTAAAAAATATGTCTGTTCAAACCTTATTTCATGTATGTATATATTGGAGTGAACTCGAATATTCACAATTGCAAATATTGGATATATAGTGCCTTGAACTCTCTGTCATGAGTAACATAACGGTTAAGATATTGGTGATTTTGGTGAATTATGATTATTGGTTGTGTGATTTTGGTGAATGGTGATTGAGTTTAAAAAATGTATCAGCTTTATGAAGCTCGCACGTATATAAGTTTCATTACAATTATAAATAACCGACCATGCGACCAACATACGGTACATGTATTGTTGCGTCTCTGTCTATAACTATACGGCAACGTTTTATGTGTAGGCAACGTACATATATCTGAATTATTCAAAGTCGACGTGAAAATTAGTAGAACTGGAGTGAATCATCTACAATAGATTGCAGATGGTTATGTTAGGTTAGGTACGTATCTAATGTAGTACCTAATGTCGTGTAAAGAGTTCATTTATAATTGTACATTCCAGGTAAAAATTTTTCTTTAATTTCAAGTTATTCTTCATGGGTAGCTTGATCTCAATCACATTCTTGTGTATATGGGATTTTTAAGTTATAGACAATCAGCTTAAGCTGTTGAAGTATATGTAAAATTATGCCGATATCGCTATACAATAATTTTATTAAAAACATTACTTTTTTTTTCTCTGATGTTGAATACCTCTTATGTTCTGTTCTAGAGGCTTATAACGTGGATTTATATTGACTTATTAAGCACATAAAATTCATGCATGGTTATAAATGAAATGGCCAGCCATCTTTTGCATAACTATGGCATGAAATATTTTGGTACCAATTATGATTGATATTTAAATAGGCTTGAATATTAATTAATTTGCTTACCACCCAGTAGTCACAATTATGGCTATAAAGTCTTTTACTGAGAGTTTTTTTTAATTTACGAAACGTTCTAGTAGTATAGAAAACTATGGAAAACTACAGCCCTGCATGATAGTCGTTGAGAACAATAATTTGGAAAAATTAAACATCGTTAATTGACTCTGATAATTATCACTTATCTATGTAATAACGTGTTGCAATGAAATACAAGTTTTCCTTTTAAATTTAACATCAATGAGTGTAGTAAATTTGCTCTCTATAGGTAAACTCCTCTTATAATTTTGTTCTTTCTTTCGTTCTGAAAGTGAAATTCCTAGATGGGTCCTCGATCCTCGTATTAATTTGGAATTAATTTCAGTTCAGTATTGCTAATTAAGCAATTTCCCGAATTCATCAATCACCATGCATGAAGTTACAATTATAGCTAAACTCATTGTTACGAATATGGGTGCTATTTTTTTGTGGGGTAAATATGGGAGTTTTCTTCACATTTATGGGTGTCAAATATTTGTTATAGAAGCTATATAAGCTCCTAATTATTTGTAGGCAACGTTAAAATTACTGCGGTAAATTTTTTGTATATATGTGTCTATTCAGTGAATAGACTGTATACACTGAATACTTTTCATAAGACTTGTAGAGACTTTTTCATAAGTATGAGGAGAAAAACCGTGCTAATATACCTAACAATGACAGGCTGCATGAAATCGACCTCGAACTTCGGACCTGATGTGAAAGACAATGCGTTTTAAGCAGGCGTTAAAAAAATGTATTTATAACTGTGACTGCAGTAATATGTAAATGTGTTAATATATACCACATATTGAGAATTTCCATCTATTCTTACAACCGACACTGGAATTGATATTTTATCAATACATCGATTCCAGACTTCGCAAAATAGTTCTCGTTCTGGATCCTTTTTTAATATTGCTATGATTTTCTATTTTGCTAATTGAGCTGAAAATTGAATTATCTCGTATAAGAATCCAGGAAGTATCCATGAATACAATATCCCAGAGTATTTCTCTTCCATTTATCATTTGAACTCGAGCATGGTTTCCACCAATATATATCAACTATAAACCCAAACCTTGAATCCTCCAAATCCCATCTAGTTCCATCAACTCCATCCAACTTCCCTCTAGTTCCTCCAACTCCCCTCTAGTTACTCCAACTCCCCTCTAGTTCCTCCAACTCCCCTCTAGCTCCATCAACTCCCTCCAACTCCCCTCTAGCTCCATCAACTCCCTCCAACTCCCTTCTAGCTCCATCAACTCCCTCCAATTAACTCCCCTCTAGTTCCATCAACTCCCTCCAACTCCCCTCTAGTTCCATCAACTCCCTCCAACTCCCCTCTAGTTCCATCAACTCCCTCCAACTCCCCTCTAGTTCCTCCAACTCCCCTCTAGTTCCATCAACTCCCCTCTAGCTCCATCAACTCCCTTCAACTCCTCTCTATTTCCATCAACCCCCTCCAACTCCCCTCTAGTTCCATCAACTCCCTCCAACTCCCCTCTAGTTCCATCAACCCCCTCCAACTCCCCTCTAGTTCCATCAACTCCCCTCTAGTTCCACCAACTCCCCTCTAGTTCCATCAACTCCCCTCTAGCTCCATCAACCCCCCTCAACTCCCCTCTAGTTCCATCACAAGACCACTTGATGTGAGCGCATCTTCTTTTTTATGGCGCTTTCGAGATGGACGACGGGCTTGCAAACGACCAACGATGTGACAATTAGCGCCGTCAGGTGACACTCACTTTTTTGTGTGCCCTGCCCGCGTCCCGGGCGTGGGGACAATCTCGACTCAATTACAGTGTGTATGTGAGGCCAAATTGCGGCTCTCACCGCAAACCCTGTGGTGACTGCCCCGATGAATGGCCTCTCATTTCATGCCAACTAATCGGCTTGACCACAAACTCTTCACTCATGGCTGCTCCTCTATTAATTAATGTTAAGTCCCATCAGGGTGCCTTAGGGAGACTTTCTGCACATTAGCATTGAGACATCCACGCTGCCGGGAGCTGCTAGGATGCGGTGTATGTGTGACAGATTTCAGCCAACTGGCTTCTGGGCAAACATTTCTTATCACACGCACATGATGTTCTGAGTGTTGAGCTGCAACCATCCGATCATGGGTCTTCTGAAAATATTTTCCAAATATTTGGAACACATTATAAATTCTCATTCTCATTACAAAAGAAAAGTGTGGTGACGAATTTATGGTAGGTAAACAATTTTTCGATATCAATGATATTTACGACATAATATTAGAGTAATAAATCACGAAGTTGCGACTGCGGTAGTTCATTGTCTGTTTATGGCTCTTGCGTTAGACACATTATTGCTCGGAAAAAAAACAAGGGAAAGATTTAAGTGTCTTATCTCAAGATCATAAAAACAAGCAAATGCTAACTAATCCAAGAGATAGTGGGACAAACCTGCGGTGAATTAAATTTTACATTGCTTCATGACGAAGCTATTCTTGCCAAGTTTAATTGTACGTTGACCGCGCATTGTATTGGAAAGGTTTTTGTTTCTGAGTATATGAACGTATATGTATATGTTCCGCTCCATATATCACGTAAATTTCCTGTTGTGGTAATCAAACCGAATGTAATCCCTGAGGAAATCAAGAAAGCATAATAAATTTTTATGATCAGTTCCATGACCACATATAGAGCTGCACGTGAGTCCATTTTGCTGAGTTGATCATCATTTAGATTGTTAATTGCGGCCATCTGCATTTTTGTTACCTTTGATAAATGCAGTGAAGGTGCAAAGCTAAACTTGACGGAATTCTGGCGAAAGTGAAGGAATTTATCACGCAAGTACTATCTTGATAACCTTATAAGTACTTACATCATTTATGATCTATTATTATAAGACAATTTCTGGATTACAATTTCCCTACCCTAAAATTAAAATTATATAATAAAATTAAAATTGTGTATGAAATTAAAAAATCAGCTTGCAAGTGAATTGAAAATCAACATGAATAAAAAAATACCACGTAAGATTTTCAAGCCGAATAGTTGCTAGTCTGTGGACTTTTGCAGCTTAATTAATGTGCCTGTATAAGAAAAGTAGAACCAACTTGGAATTCCCAATGTGAAATTCATATATGATCCAGCGCATCCGTGTATGAAACATTGTGCATTAAAATTACTTCACAATCATAGTAATGACACTCACAGTTCCTTGAGAAAGATGAAATTTAGCTTCCAGTTCACTTTTTATGTTATTATTTGTAGATATACCTACGTTGGATGTTGGAATAATCTGCTTCGAGGCAACATAGTCAAACTCAGTCCGTGATAATTTCCATAGATACACGGAATGCCTGAATATTGTGCATGTTGTAAATGTTACAGTCTTGTAAGTGTTACAGTCTTGTAAATGTTACAGTATTGTGAATGTTACAGTCTTGTAGATGTTACAGTCTTCTCGCGACGTCGGTTGTAAGACTTCACTGGTACGACAGCCTGCTCCGGAGTGGGAGTGGACGGATGCGTGTAGACTTGCACTGCTTGTCCAGCTCTGTTGCTTGTCAATCAAATTTAGGTACCTGTGTTAAATTTGGGAGGAGGAGTGAGCATCTGTAGTATATTTCTCGGAACTTAAATTTTTTAATTAATAGTCTAATTAGTCTGAGGTGGCACAGAATATAGCATGCTTTTGGTGGTTATTTAATTCTTTGTTTAAGTTTGTTTATGAGCTAATTATTCCAATGTTCATCGTAATTAATGATTGAGATTTGTTATTGGCCTAATAAAGGCTGATAGAAGTGATCGATTCGATCGAGTGAAAATCAGATTTTTGTTACAGTCCGGTAGGTAACATCCCAGTTCGAAATTCTCGCAGTCTTTGCGGCCGTTCGCCGCAGAGACGTTCGCAGACGCGCAAATCT